GAGAGAGAGAGAGAGAGAGAGAGAGAGAGAGAGAGAGAGAGAGAGAGAGAGAGAGAGAGAGAGGGATTGACCTACCTCATTAGAAGCAGCCAAAGTCAATTCCTCCAGGCGCAGTTGCAGGGTTTCATGCTGACGTAAAAGTTCCTGACGTATTGCAGCAGCATCAACCGTTCTCTGTGGCAACTGTTGGTTGTTGGTTGGCGATTTGCATTTGCAGAGAGACGATCACAACACATTAATGAGAAAAGACTCAAAAGAGCTAAGAACACGGATTATTACACCGGCAAAAAATAAAATAAAATCAAATCAAATCAAAGTTATCAAAGACAAAAGATAAGCGAAACATGCACTAATCCTGACAACGTGAGAAGTTCATTTAATTGACTAGGTTCAAGAATTTCCTATTTAGAATTCCCTTTTATTCTTTTTTTGTATTTTTAATAACTGTAGTAAACTTGTATTACTCTTGTAATAATACTAATAAGTTAATAACTGAATATTACAGTTGTAGTCAACGACCGGAAATTGGGTTCAGTGTCCCTTACATCCGGTACACACTCAACGCGCTGACCCTCGTTATGGTGTGAAGGGCGTCCTTCGGGACATCCTTTTGAAATTAGAACGATACAGGTTATGGTGAAGGGCCCATGAGACAGTAGCATTGATTAATCTTCTTCCTATAACAGGAAGGATGTAGTACCAGTGATGGAATTAGGCTACAGCTCCCCCTGCAACTCTCTCCCACTCTCCCGCAGCTCTCCCAATCTCCCAACTCTCTCCCATTCTCCCACAGCTCTGCCAATCTCCCACTCTCCTACAGCTCTCCCCATTCTCCCACTCTCCTACAGCTCTCCCTGTCAGCCTGTCATTTTGCAAAACCTTTTCCCTTTCTTTATTATAAGAAGAGAAGGTCTGCCTCCCTTCCTTTATGATTAGCAAGGCCTCCCTTCCTTTTCAGGGTTTAGGGTAACCCCTATGCCTCAGCTCTCTCCTCTCTTATTGGTCAGAGGGAGGGATATGCTGCCAACAGAAACTCAACAGAGATAACAGAACAGCAACCCGAGGGGTTTGCTCTCGTTCTTCTCTGTCAGTTTCAAAGGGAAGAACAAAAACAAAAAAAACAAAAACAACTGAACGAACAAACAAGTATACAAATCAATAATGAAAAAAGTTCAAAAAACAAAAAAAAAAAACAAAAAAAAAATTAAAATGAAAAAAGAGAACCGGGTGCACAGTCCCTCAACATCATCGAGTTTTTTTTTTTCTTCAGGATGTGAACTCTGACTGAACCTCATGATCAACTGATTAACAACTCCGAAGGGTGTATCTATCATTAAGCAGCCAGGCAGGCAGGCAAGTAGAGAGATTAGTAATGTGCATAATGTGTAGTTACTGTAGTACAGTTACTACAGTAACCTACTTAAAAAATTTTGCGAGTAGGTTACTGACGTCAAGTAGGGAGATTGGTAATGTGTACTACAGTTACTACAGTTACTACATTACTACTGTTATGTACCCGATTGAACTTCAATCCACAACGAAGGAGGCAATTGCAGAGTAGACGCGAAGGAGGCAAATCCACACAAAACCGGAGAGAAAATATGCACAGCGGAAGCTCAAAATACACACAGAATTGAAAAACGAACTTCAATTCTTCAATCCCTCGTCCTCCTCCAATCAATCCAGAGTACTTATTCCAAGAATCACAACCGCGTTTACAACAACCCCGAACAACCAGAAACAAGTGTTCAACGAAGTATGCAGGAGTCTCCTTCTTCCTCCTCGCCACCTCATACCCCTGGCTATGGCTGCCGTAGCAGCAGTAACCCCACAGCTGTCACAACGTGCCAATCTGAACCAGCAACTCTAATGATAACAGCGCCAGCTCAGCACCCGCACGGAAGTGCAGCGCTGGAAGTCCTGATGAAGAAGGAGACAACCGATCCAGCACTTCGAAGAAGACAAAGTTCCTCGAGAGGAGGAACAACAGATATGGCTGCCAAGTGGAAGATGGCAGCACCCAAACCCAACAACACAGTCCTGTGAAATCTCTCATGCAGAGCTGTGAAATAGCAGCAGTGCGATCTTCAGCTTCGTTTCCCAACCCCAGCTATGGCTGGGCTTTGAGGAAGAAGATGACCTCGCCCAAAATAGAGCAGCAGCGCTCCAACAACGGACGGGCAGAGTTTCCCCAGTCAACGAAAACGTGAAAAGACCCAAACCAAATTTCCTACCCGCTACTTCTACCAGAGAGCCTAGACCTATGACGGACTCCAAAGGCAACAACCCAATACTCATCTGCATCTAGACGGAAACAGGTGTAATGACCCGCCAAAAACACAGACTGAGAACACTGCTGATTTCTGCGATTTGCCGCTGGAATGAATGCCTTGCTGAGATTCCCGCATTCTGCTGTGGTTTCCAAGTCTGTGTGTGTGTGCGTGCCTGCTGGTTTGCATGCCTGTCTGAGTGTTTGTCGGCTGAGTGTGTGTGTGACCCGCAAGGGTACTTGTTGGTTGAAAGGCCMYGCAGGGCCGGTACTTACCTGTGGCCGTGACTTTGAGGGTTGCARCGGGGAAAACACTCAAGTAGCGGGGGTAGGCCCGCGACACTTAGAGCAGCGGGGAAAAAYACTCAAGTAGCAGGTAGGCCGGTACCACTCAAGTAGTGGTAGGAGTGTCGGGTACTGGAGGCCGAGCAGAAGAAGACAAAAAGTTGACATTTTTGGAGGCCCAGTAGCGGTAGGATAGAGGTAGGCCGGTACCAGTCCAAGTAGCCCGGGTCTAGGGCCTGTCCGGACGATAGCAGAGCCTGCAATGATGTTTCCCTCCGAAAGGGAGGAGGTACCGGTTGCTGGGAGGCCGCTCGGCCTAGGAAGTCACCGCCCAAGAGGCCAGTAGGCCGCTATATCTTCCGGAGGAGCAAGTAGCTCCTCCTCATTTGCGGTATGCAAGGATTGGCGACATGCTGCTGAGCGAAGCGCTGGACTGGTACATCGCTGCCTGGAGGTCAAGGGCAGCTGGGCGCTCAGCCTGGCTATGGGGAGCAGCCCAGCCTGAGGAGGAGGAAGAAGGGGGCGAAGGAGGAGAGTGGCGGGGCACCTACCTGGCTATGGTGGACACCATCTTCATCACCTTGTTGGGCGCTGCATCTGGAAGGCCCCAGTTGGGGTAGTGCCGCACCAAGGAAGCTCGAGGCAAAGTCAGGCATGGCGGCTTAGTCAGCAGCGGCATAGCTGCTTTGGGTTGTCCTTTGGACAGGAGTGCAGCGCCATAGCTGTGCTTTGGGTTGTCCTTTGGACAGGAGGGCAGGGCCCTCAGTAGTCCGCCATAGCCTAGGCATGTGAGAGGAGGAAGAAGGAGGGAAGCCATAGCTATGGTGGACTTGTTGTTGTTGTTGTTGTTGAGTCAGCAGTAAGAGGGAACTTTAGATATTGATTCTGGTCCATCCACTCAATAAGATTGGCGAAGTGCAGGAGGAGGAGGAAGGTGGAGAGAGAAGGGGGGATTTGTCATTGGTCTTGCTGGTGTACATCTTCTTCTTCTTCTTCTTCTTCTCCTCTTTGCAAGTGCTTTCATTTATTTCGCAATTGGGTGGCATTGTCTTTCATTGCGAATTTGCAAGTTGGGAATGACCAGGATCGTAACAATTGGTATCGGAGCGGACTCACTTGCTGGCGAGAGGTGTTAGTCACCCTAAACCTAATTCCGAATTAGGTTAGGGCTAACCTAATCTCGGATTAGGGTTGGGAAGTTAGGGTTAAGAGGGGTAGTGAGGTATGTGGATACTGCCCCCACCTGGTTAGGTCATGTAGGGTCGACATCAGACCTGACCAGGTTGCTTGTGTGATTGGATGGGGTGGAGAGACACAAAGGAGGCTTATTGGAGTAAGCGAGAGGGAGTAGAGAGTGAGAGGTACTCGCACCTGGAATCTGCACTTCAAGAAGACATTGAGTGACTTTTTGGGCTTCCCCTCAAGAGGGAGACTTGATCGGAGGCTGCCATATCTGCATCGAAGAGCTGCAAGTTGCTACTTTGGTCTTCAGACATTGACGGGGGATCCGGCGTTGTAATAGGGGTGTAGGGAGGCCCTCTTAGTCATGCTAGGACACTTCGTGTAGTGGTAGCTAGGGGTCAGGAGGACCTATGAGAGAGGGGGGTAAGTCGTTATCCATCTTTGGAGGCCAGGCCTCACAGGTAAGTGCCGTGTGACCTGGTTATGCCCGTGGGAGGTTGCTTGGTGCTTCATGGCCTGTTGGGGTGTGCTGGGCTCTCTTCCTCTCCTCTGCGGTCTTGGTTGTGTGTGTGAGCTTGTGGATTGGTTTCTCGCCTGATGGACGGCTGTAGGGGTAAGTTCTTGCTGAAAGTTGTCTTTTCCTTTTCAGTACGGTAGAGGCAGTTTGGGACTGACTTGGTACACCTATCTCGTTGGTCCTGGTCCACGGCCTACTTGGGACCTTTGGGACTCAGTGGGACCAGGCCCAATGGGACAGGACCTTTAGGGCCCAAATCTGTTGCCGTCAATGCACTCTTTGCTGTGCTGAATTTGGGGGACATACGGCTAGTAAGGGCATTCCTTTCAAGGGGATCTTGACTGGTCTTACTGCATGTTCTCACATACTGCCCCGCGTCTGGCTCGGCGACCGTCTGCACCCCTCGAAATCTCCATTGCTGCAGTTAGTTTTCTTCGGCTGATTTATTGTGGTACATGTACCTTGTCAGGTTAGACAAGAGGGGATCGCCAGCTAATCTGATCGGGCCCGTTCGATAAGTCAGTCCTCTCTTTCATTTTTTATTTATTTAATTATTTATCTTTATTCTGCTGCGTGAATGTCATTCTCTAAGTCCAAATGAATTGCTGCTCCGCCTAGGAGTTCTACCTTCTACTCTTTGTGATTTACTTCTTTTTCTTTTATCTGAACTATCTATGTCTGGTATTGAGGCGCGTGCGCAGAAAGCGGAAAGAGAGAGAAGGGAGAGAGAAGGTGTCCTTTTTGAGAGTGTGCGGAAGGGTAAGAGGAATGTTCGTCCTAAAGTGAGCAAAGTGCGGACCCCTCTTGAGAGATCTACTGACACCCTATCCTCCGGCATGGCAGACATCACGTCCGAGCAATGGAAGGCCATGCTGGACGCAGCAACCGAGAACGAGAAACCCTTCTTTCAGAAACTTTATGAGGATGCAA